ATAACTGAAATCCTAACGTCACCCAAACTTCTTCCTAATCAAATATTGTCACTTCATTAATAGCAAAAAATAAACTTTTTTTTCTCCTTTCTACCATTAAACAGCAGAGATGCTAATGAACAAAATAGACAGCAAGTAAGAGAAAACAAAGAAAAAAGGACAAGTAAGGAATATTAGGTGTCTGGGCTACTGATGGCACCAAAACATCTTAAATATTTTCCTCTTTTAAAACAACTTTAAAGTAGGTACACAGATTCTAAGTCTTAGAGTTCAATGTGTATTTTTTCCTGAGCTTTTTTTTTCCAACATGTATGTTATGATTTCTAAATGTTTGGTAAAGATATAGTCAGAAGTTTATGTAGGCATTCTATTTTTCAGTTATCTGTATCAGTCTAATGGAAGAGCAATGGAATTTCTGACATTTATAGAAATCACCTGAAAATTGTGAGAAAATTTTCACAAAATATCAGAGTGCTTTTGGTGTAGATGTGAATTTTAGTTCATTCACCCACTCATCCTCCTTCATGCATTCTGTCACCAAATCTCTTATTTTCAGTGTTTCCCTCACCCATCTCATTATTCACATCTTACCTGCACATAGTACGATAGCTTCGATAGCTTTTCCAATTAAACATGTCATCAAACAACCAGTCAAGTGCATTGTTTATTACCACTTCTATGACTATTCTTCCATTCCCCAAAGAAATAAAAATCAATCTTCTCTGCAGTAGTTTAATGACTCCAAATATTTTTTACATATTCACAAATTACACAATGCCTGAATTTTCTGCTAGTTTGATGACCAGCAGCCAAGACTTTTAAGTAGATATCCTTTTAGAAAATCTAATTTTGCAAATTCTCAGCTAGTTTGTCATAGTAGAGGAATGGGGTGGAGGAATTAATAGACAGAGAGGGTTTAGGAAAAGACAGAATGGGGTAGGGGAGAGAGCAATTCTACGACCAAGCTCATTATTCTACTCAATCCGAAAACATCTTCTAAACTGTCTGGTCACAATATAGGAAGGCTAAATCAGAGTATGTTGAATTTTGAGGGGAAAGAAAAGTAACCATATGTTGCCCTTTTGAGGTTTTTTTTTGGGGGGGGTGGAAATATGGATACACACACACACATCAACATAGGCTGCAAAAATATCAATGTATAACTGTGACATTTATCCATATGCACATCTTCCTCTGACAGCCTCTACTTCCTATTTAGTTGTTAGGAGTTTTGTGCTAACTAGTAAGCAGAAATGTTAAATATTAGCACAATTTTTTCATAATCGCAAAGCATAATAATCTCAGGAATTTTGGATTGGCCGAATTCCCAAACTCTTAGTAAACGTCATAATTGTGCTAATCTTAGAAGGTCTTCCTGTGTTATTTTGTATTAGATGATGGTGTATTTCTCAGAACTCAAACTGCGCTATGCAGTAATAACTATCCAACACAGTTAAGTACCTTAGGAACAAACATGGTCTCGGGCGGCTCCTTATGAATCTCACTGGACTGTAAACTACATGAGAACAAGAATGTAGCTAACCCCTTTTGAGATTTTCCTCATTACTTAGCAAAATCAGAGCAGCTCACAAAGCTTCATCTGATACTCATTGAGATAAATACATATTCTGATAGTGTTATAATTACCGTGTCACTTTATTTGCAGAAACTTCTCATCCCTAGGAATTGCTATGGAATCTCCACATTGCAACATCTCCTACACAGCTGAGTCCTGAGCATAGAACATGCTTTCATCATGGAGAAACCCCTAATCTGAGTGTAGCTACCAAAACCCATGAAGGGGTCTTTCCCAACTGAGGACACACATCAGAAGCCAGGAAAGAATGAAAATGAGGGATTGCAGCAACATCTGACTCTTACGTGGATTTGGAAAGATTCACAAAGCCACACATTTAAGAATTACGAATGGCAAAATATTCTTGTTAATTTCTAATGAGAAAGATGTTATTTTTGTGTGTATCAAATATTATATTTCAGAAAGTGGAGTTGTGATGATGGCCCTTGAACTAAACAAGGTGTGAATCACTCAGGCAAAGGTGTGAGGATGATGGGGGAATGCAGGAAAGTGAGCTTTTCAGAATGCTAGAAAAGCTGGAGGCAGAGGTGTTTTTTGGATATGCCTCACAGATGACTCTTCTTTCTCCTTCCAGGAGACTGTGGCCTAGGTAATATTCTCTTAAATTATAATTTTAGTTCTTCCAGAATGGAAATGTAAGCTCTAAGTATAAAAGAGAAGAAACAGAAGAACTACTGAGCTTGTCAGATTCTGAGAGATGTTTTTCTGTCTGGTCTGGGTTACCTATAGCTGCATCTGAGCAATTAGACAGACAGTATATGTCTTCTATTCTTGATTAATTAAATTGGCTCATTAAACTGGGCTAAAGTGGGTGGATTACTCAGGGTTCTTCAGAGAAACAGAACTGAATTAATTGAGATATATTTGTATCTCATTAATAAATAAGATCTATTATTATTTATAATACTATTGTCATAGTGACAGTATCGCATATAAATTAATATATATTAATTATGGAAATTAGCTTCCACTATTATGGAGACCAAGAAGTTTCATGTTCTGCTATCTGCAAGCTGGAGAACTAAGAAAACTGGTGGAGTAATTCTGTCTGAATCTGAAGGCCTGAGAACTAGGGGTGTCAATATCCAAAGACAGGAGAAGAAGATGGATATTTCTAGCTTGAAAAGAGAGCAAATCTGCCCTTCCCCTGCCTTTTGTTTTTTGCAACCCTTAATGGCTTGAGTGATGCCCATCCACGTTAGAGAGGGCCATCTGCATACTTGGTTCACCAATTAAAATGCTAATCTCCAGACACACCCTCAGAGACATACCCAGAAAATAATGTTTTACCAACTATCTGGGCATCCCTTAGCCCATTCAAATTGACATATAAAATTAACTATCACAGTGGGTGTGTATGCCTATGCATCTTCTTTTCCCACCTGTCTCAGTCTGTTTAGGCTGCTATAACCAAATACCTTAAACTGGGTGGTTTATAAACAATAAAAATGTATTGCTCAACAGTTCTGGAGTCTGAGAAGTCCAAGATCAAGGCATTGGCAGATTTGGTGTTTAGTGAGACCTCACTATGTGGTGCATGGGTGACACCTTCTCAGTACTCACATGTTAAAAGGGCAAACAAGTTTCCCCAGAGCTTTTTCATGAGGGCACTGATGCCATTCATATGGGCTCTACTCTCAGAACCAAATCACCTCCTAAAAACCTCAGCTCTTAGTACTATTACACTGCAGATTAGGTATTAACATGTGAATTTTCAGAGGGATACAAACATTCAGACCATAGCAGCACTAGTTGCATTTTCCATGTAACTTTATAAATACAAAGAGGCTATGTTATACAAATATATACAGTCTACTCCTTCATTTGCATTTAGCCAAGTAAGATGTTGATGAAGTAAATATTATGTTTATTTCCCTGTGCCTCAAAGTCTTATAAAAAGGATTTATGTTAAAAAGCATTTTAAAAATAATGTTAGGCAATAAATCTTGATTTTCAATGTTTTATGTGGTTGAATAATGTCTAAAAGAAACCGTTACATAAAAAAACAGAACATATACTTAAAATGAAAGCTCATAATCCGTATTAATTTAGCAAAAGTAATTAATTTTAACTTCCATAAATGATGGTCTTATTTGGAGACTGAAATATCACTACAAAATGTTTTCTCATTTTCAGATGTAATCCTTTTTTATAAGCAAGACATAATTTTAATGGTTACAGTATAGTAGTAGAAAATTTAGACTATGAAAAATACTGAATATTTAGATGCTTGTCATATATTTTGTGCTTTATTTATTAACTCTATTTTATGTATATGTATTTTAAATATGTAATTTTACTTTTCATTGTTATATTTTATTTTTCTTTTCTACCAAATAAAATGATTGGTAAGGACCATTGTACATTCTAACATCTCGGATTATATCAGATTGACGAAACATCCGTAAGAGTTTGAAGACCACTTAACTGAGGAGTGGCACTAAAGTTCAAAAGTTTATGATATCTTTCTGTATACTCTCTGGTTTCTGCAGGGCTGCCATATAAACCACACAGCCTACACTGTTTAACTCCATAGACCTTGCCACAAACGGCACCCTCTGGGGTAGTGCTCGCAGCAACCCTGGTGCTAAAAATTTGATTTTGTGAATTTTTCTTTTTCCCCCCTCAGAGTCTAATTTCCTCAGGCACAGTAGACTCAATGTTGTAGCCAAAAGCATACCATAGTCATTTCACAAACTATTTTGTGACTTATACTGACATTTCTGAAATGAGTCAATGTGATGTAACTGTGTTATTCATAAGCTAATAAGTATATTCCAGCACCTATCTCTATATAAGTAAATGTATTAATGATTTCAGCGAGAGAAACTCTTTATGGTTCATAATGATTAAATCTGTTATGTAAGGACAAACCAATTTCAATGCAGAAAGTTATTATAATTTAAAAGGGCATTTTAATAAACCATTATATAAAGAATAGATTAGTGTGTACTGGCCTCAATCTTCAGCCTTAACTGTAACACTAAATAAAACAATTATATAACTTATGAAAATGCATTGTATCTGTAATTGTGTACATAATGAGAGATTTTCCAATGATCCATTCATTAAATTGTATAATGTTCAATATGCATAAAATGCAGAAGGCCTAGGGGGAATTATAAGCAAATTATGAAATGTGATTTCTATCTAAGTACAGTAGTTTTCAATTTCTTTAGGTGGCTGAATAAACTCATGAAGAAAACTGGACAGACGAAAAAAGTCAAATAAATATAATGTTAAGATCATGTTCAGATAAGTTTCAAATAGGTACTTCTCTAAGTCACAATTACAATAGTTTTCTGGAGGAAACAAAGTTTTGTTTATTGCTTGTTTTGAGACAGGGTCTCAATCTGTCACCCAGGCTGGGGTGTAGTGGCTGGATCTCAGCTGACTGTAAACTCTGCCTTCTAGGCTCAAGTGATCCTCCCACCTAAGCCTCCTGAATAGTTGGGAACACAGATGTGTGCCACCACATGCAGCAAATTTCTATTTTTTTTGGAGAAATGAGGTTTTTGCCATGTTGGTCTCAAAACCTGGGTTCCAGTGATCCTCCTGCCTTGGTCCCCGAAAATGTTGGGATTACAGGTGTGAGCCATTGCATCTGGCCAGGAAACAAAGTTTTAACAGGATTTTATATAATGAAAAGGTTAAAAAAAGGAAAGTAAGTTTCCTCTGGTAGAAAAATTACAATCATGAATTAAAGAAGGTGGAAATAACAAAAAAATCGGTAACTTCTCTAAAGAGTCCATGATAGACAAAGGTTATAAAAAGGAAAGCACGTGCATAAATGATGAGAATAAGAATCATGGGTGATGACCAATAGCACACTAACCAACTGGATGCTCACTTTTAAAAACATTTCAAGTGATTATAGATGCTCAAAAGAGTTAATAGCTATTTATCTTTAACTTTAATATAGAATAATATTGTTGAGTATTTTTATTTTTGTTGACTTACATGATTAAATGTACAAATAAAAACAAAATTAAAATATACCATAATATGAATCATAATTATTATATTATGGATATTATATGATTTAATATCCAACACATTTTTATATAAAACAATTATTTTGAAATTATACATAAAAAGAACTGTCAAATTTTGGAGTAAGAAAAAATTTCAGTCTATATTTTTCAAATCGTCTTAATTTAAAATTTAGATTAGGATCAACCAAAAGTATTACAAATATTAAGCCCCTATGAAATCTTAAGATTCCCAAAGAAAAATTAAGCAAATAGATCTTTAAGATCTTCTATGTTCTCAAGACTAAATACAAAAGGAAATTTTTCTTTTGCTTATTAGTAAAATTGACAAGGAACTATTGAAATGCCAGAAATTAAATCAAAACTATTTAGTTTTGATTTCTGGGAACAATTTTTTAAAAAATTTATACTGAAGAACATCATATGTAGGTCATAAACTCTGGATACACCATACACATTAATTTCTCCTCCCCAATAATAGTTCAGACAGTGAGATATCTAGAGTAGAAAAGTCAAACATTTTCTCTGGTAAGCAAACCTGGTATAATAGTAGCTCAGATATTTTTGTTTTTGTTTTGTCTTTCCTGATGGACAGGTCTGACATACTCTGTATAGTCCCATGAATAAATGACTTAGAGTAGCCTAAAGGCATTTCTCCATGTATATGGGGTTGGAACTTTTTTGGTTGAGGTAAGGTGAAGGCAGAAAAATAATTTTTTTTTTAAAAAAAGAGCTTTTATATGTTAAAAAAATTCTTTTAAGCAAATAGGTACTAATTATTCATAAAAAGATTACAGCATACTTTGTGTTTAATAAAATATTTGCAAGAAAGAATAAGCTACCTAAGTTACATGATACTGTAACTACACCCGGCACAACGAAGGACTTACTGTATTTTTCCACATGTTGAGGTAAACCACATGATGTACAAGTAGTGGAATAACACCAGCCACAAGTATGCCTGCATATTTCCAGTTTCTGTTCCTTTTGATTTACTTGGCTTTCTTTCCTCTGTAGTGATAAGAAAAATTTTTACACTCTTAAAAGAGAACTTAAGAATACAATTTTTTAAAAGAGAAATTTCAGATACTACTTCAATCACAGAAAAAGTAGAAAGTATCTTTGGTATTTCAACAAATAACAGGCAAAGCCAGTCAGTCATTCACAGCAATACAGGTAATCAAAGATTAAAGAATCTAAAACATATGCTGAATATAATGTTTGCGTGATTGTATAGAAATAGATTTGGAATTCACAAAGCAGGATGAAGCCTTAACAGTTATGTACTCAACAAACTATAAGTGTAAGTTATATGTAATGTTGTTTTACAAAGACAAGTTGGAATTAGGAAGAAGACTAGAAAAAAAATGCAACAAGAATAGGCATATTGTAAAGAGAGCTCACTCATTCACTTATTTATTAGCTCACTCATTCAATTAGCCAACATAGATTGCAAAGTTTCTTTATCTAGGCTCTGCCTAAGGCTCCTGGGGTACAAGGAGAGCTCTTGTGAACTTGAAACTGCCTGTTCTCCTGGAAGAAGACCAAAAGTAATGAAACAATAAATGTACAAGATATTTCAAATGATGATAAGTTGATCTATTTGTTTTAAATGGGATGATGCTATAGGAAGCAACTGGCAATAGTGGTGTGTAGTTTGATCAGGTGGTCAGGAAGGGCTCACTGGAGAGTTGGCATTTGAGCCAAGATCTGAGGAAGTAGAAGGAACCAGCCATGTAAAGACGAAAGGAAAGTGAACTCAGGAAGAGGAAATAGCCATTGCGAAGGCTCTCAAACAGGAATGAGCTAGGTGTGTTTGAGAAAAAGGAAGCCGAGTATGAGTTTCGTGAACAGGGAGTAGTGGCAGATGAGGCTGGAGAAGAGAAAAGGCCATGGTAGGACATTTACATTTTATTTTTTATTTTATTCCAGAGTGAAAACCATGGAAGCTGTACAATCCTCTTTACGTTCCTGTAGGATCACTCCAACTCCGGCATCACAATGGGGAGTGGTGCAGTGAGGAGGTGCATAGGAAGTGAAGTTGGGAGACTGGAAACTCCGCAATGGTCCAAGGAAGCAGAGGTCAGTCGCTTGCACCAAAGTGGAAGCAAGGAATATGAAGAAACGTTTAGTTTGTATTTTTGGAGTAAAGCCAAGAGAACTTTAAAATGGATTGTATCGTAGGGGTGAGAAGATATAGAATAGGGAAAAAAGATAAATACTGACAATAGAAAATATAAATGGACGCTAAAGAAATGCTGGCAAGAAATATCTTGGGTATCAAATGATCCTAGTTGAGATCTTAGAAGATATCTTGCTCAACCTCATATTTAAAATGTCTACACCATTGCGGGCTGATGGTCAGATAACTTCTGGTTAAACACTCCAGTGAGGAGAACACCTTTGGAAAATGCTATTTGATTAGTGAGGGCCAATCTCCTTCCCTCGATCATAGCTAAACAGGAGATAGTTTTGAGGCCTTTTGTTTTTAAAAAGTCAATACGAAACTGGAAAGGTAAATTTGGCAAAAAATGTTAATTTCAAAGTGTGAGAAATAGCCCTTCTCTTACTTTCAAAACAGGAAAAAACAGTCTAGTTTTTATTATCACATTTTAAAGATAGCAAAGGTAATTGGAAATAGGTCACAGGAGGACTGAGAGGAGACAAACTCTTAAAGATTTTATGAGTGTCTGGGTGGTAAGATGGAGAATAGGCAGATCACTTGTTCTGCATTTCTGTAAAGGACTAGGTATAAAGGAATGACATCAATTAGAAATACAAAATATTCTATTTTGCTGTCAAGAAGAACTTTGTGGATTTAAAAAGCAAAATGCTGTAGTATTCTTTTTAGTAGTTACTAAAACAATTAGGTTACAAAACAATTAATTCTGGATAATCAAGACCATCTATTAAAAGCAGAAGTCCTTATGATCCTCTAATGTTCAAAGAGGGTTGTTTGTCTAAAGAGTGAATTAAAACTCTCCCAATTGCCTGATGTGATTGAGCATGGGTCATAGTATACCAGAAATGCTGTTATTTCCTTTTAGGGCCAGGAGGGATTTTATAGTTAACAGAAGAAAACAGAGAAAGAGACACTTTATCACAAACATGCAAATTTCACAATTTATAGATCATTTTTCTAGTAAAAAATGATGATATAAACTATAAGCTACTAAAAATAACTTATAACCTATTGGGTTAAAAATGCACAAAGAAAACAACTAAACAAGATTTCAACATTTTTGTTCAAAACTACTTTAAAGAAGAAAACAAAGTTGAAGGGATTTTACTAATGAATACTAACACTTGTTATAAAACTATAGTAACTAAAACATGAAATAAACTATATTAAAGTTAGGAAGTTCTCTTCATCAAAATGTAAACCACCGAGTAGGGGAAGACATTTGCAATATGTATGAGTGACAAAAGATTCATCTACAAAGTATGAAAAGAATTCAACAGACTTAACAGACAACAAAGAAAACTGGACAAATACTTCAACAGACATTCACAAAAGAGGAAATCCAAATAATCAGCGTATTAGTCCATTTTCACACTGCTGATAAAGACATACCCGAGAATGGGAAGACAAAGAGGTGTAATTGGACTTACAGTTCCACCTGGCTGGGGCGTCCTCAGAATGACAGGAGGAGAAAGGCACTTCTTAACATGGTGGTAGCAAGAGAAAGTGAGGAAGAAGTAAAAGCAAAAACTCCTAATAAACCCATCAAATCTCGTGAGACTTAATATCACGAGGATAGCACAGGAAAGGCCTGCCCCCATGATTCAATTACCTCCCACTGGCTCCTTCCCACAACAGGTGGGAATTCTGGGAGACATAATTCAAGTTGAGATTTGGGTGGGGACATGCCAAATCATATCAATCAGTAAGTATTTTAAAAACCCACAGAAATGTAAATTAAAACTACATTAAGTTACCACTACATAATCAGAATGGCTGAAATTAAAAAACATAAAGCAAAAAAGTGAATGGGTTGTGAGATGACCAGAGCTTGGATACACAGTAGGTAGGAGTATGAATTTTTACATGTACCTTGTCAATGTCTACTAAAATTTAGCACACTCATACTCTAAGACCCAGTAATTCTGTTTCTAGGTATATGTCAAAAATTGTGTGCATAAGAATGTGCATAGCAGTAATATTTATAAGAGCTAAATACTGGGGACAAATGAATGTCCTCAACAGAATGGATAAGTCAGTTGTGGTGTATTCATATAATATAATAGTAAAAAGCATGAAAATACATTAGCTACTGATATGTGCAACCACAAAGGTGAAACTCACAAACACATCATTAAAAGAAGCCAAATACAAAAGACTGTGTACCCTATAATTTCGCTTATGTAATGTTTAATAACAGGAAAAACTAATCTATGGTTTCAGAGTCAGGATAATAGTTACTTTTGAGGAACAAACTAGCATTTGTAATTGGGAGACAGTAAAGGGGAAGCTAAGAGGTTCTGGCAATTTGATATTTCTTTAATAGGTGGTAGCTACATGAGGGTTCACTTTATGACAATTCAGTAAGCTTACATTTAAGATCGGTACATTAAGTTATACTTTAAATATATAAGTATGTAAATATGCATGTAAATCGCATTCTAATCAAAGATATCTAAGTACGTGTGTTCATGAAAGTCATCTTTCAATTACAATCTTCTTAAACATATACAAAGAAAGGAGGTAAGTAACACTTTAAAGTTTTTAATCATAAACATAGCCTGTTGCATCTCAGAAAATATAAAGTTGCATATAATTGAATAAAACAAATGAACAAACAAAAACCCTGACAGAAACAGATTCTAAAGAGATCTCAACAGGTTGGGACAATAAACCCAGTCTACAGAGTTAAGTTGAATTGGCATAAGTATAAAGTCATCCTCATGTGTTTATAGGAGCAACAAATAACATACTCTTAAGTAGCCAACAGCACATATAAAAGAAACCCCAGGGTTATATGTGGGGAGGATGACAGCACATACAAAAGAAATCCAAGGGTTATATGTGGGGAGGATGACAGCACATACAAAAGAAATCCAAGGGTTATATGTGGTGATTAAATGTTGTCTAGGTCATAGCTCTTAATTGATTCCCATTAACCTCTTCCTAAAATACCTATAATGATGCTAAGGGTAAAATAAAAAGACCAAAACTGCCAGCCAACCTATTTCAAAAGTGAGACAATTCTCTGAGATAATTTTCCATAAAGTATTTAAAAATCAGTGGAGTTGAATTGGAATTGCAATTGCTAGCCTGAAGCTATTTGGTCAGAAGAAATGGAGCAAAGCTATTGGCAAGAATAAATGTTACATTCTTGCAACAAGAATAAATTCAGCATTTTCTTCCTCACTTCCTGCCAACCACAACAGAAAACGAGTCTGTACCATTCAGAGAACAAACAATGGCCTCGCTATTTGATCTCTTCATTTTCACCAATAGCTCTCTTTCCATCAAGGAGAGTGCAACCCCCTGAAGAGAAGAAGGAAGGAAGTTGAATACGGGACCAGCGGTGCCCACTGTAAGTCTAGGCAGAATCTAGATGTGAACAGCCTTGTATTTGTGAATGGCATGAAATAATTTCTAAGAGAAATAGGCATTAGGTGGAAAAAAAAAAAACCCCATCATATTCCAGTTGAACTTCATGAAATAAAAACTTGCTAGACTTTAATAAATGCAATGAAGGCAACCATATAAATTAATATGATAACTTCACTATGGGGGAGGATGTTGCTATTTAAAATGGGGAACTCAAGGAAGCCACTTCAATAGGCAATCTTTGAGTTGAGATCTGAATGACACAATGAAGCCAGCCAAGTGAGTGGAACATTCCTGGCAGGGGAAAATCGTGCATTATAGCGCCATTTAAAATAGCTTGAATTTCTTCAGTGGTTTCCTACTATCTTCCGCATAAAACCCAAACTTCCTAGGCTGAAATGCAGTAGATGTTAGGTAAAGGGATGAGTGAATGGATGGTTCCTGAAATTTCTGCCTAGAATTGATCCATAGTATGTCTCTTTAGTCTTTTGACATCTTTCCCTTTGTCCTCAATTTCTAAAAAAACAAAGTTACCACTAATAATTCTAAAAGAGAATTTGCTTGGTTTTTTAATAATTTGGACTGGGAGACATGAACCTGAGCCAGTATTAGGGTGAGACAAATGAGGTGCCCAGGGCACAACATTTAAGGAGGCTCTCACTCTCAGGGTGGTATAAATGCCAGCCCTCAAGGGTAGGGGCAAGTAAATGCACCTGACAGAAAAGGTAAAGATGTGAATCTGTTTTACGTTCCCTCTGAATGCTTACTAAAGAGCAATGTCAGCAGAGGGGGAATGAATAATCAAGTGAAGAGGATAAACATTTTTATGGATACCAGTCAGCTTCATTCCCCAGTCATCCCTGTCATTGCCCCATGGGTTCATGAAAAAAATGACCACAGTGCCAAGGATGGAGGTTATGCACAGAATTAGCAACATAAACTTCCACTCACCAGGTTTGACCTGGCTACTGCCACTGATGGGTACCCTATCTCAGAGACCAATACTGAGCCCCCAATATGGCACCATTCCCCAGGGTGAGGAACTAGCTACCTGGGGGCAGGTTGATCACATTGCACCACTTCCGTCATGCAAGAAGCAATGCTTTGTTCTCACTTCAATAAACAACTACTTGGGATATGGATTTGCCTTTTTGCCTGTAATGCTTCTGCCAAAACCAACATCCATGAACTTACAGAATGCCTTATTCCACATAGCATTGCTTCCATTAAGGAGCCTATTCCATGTTGCCACCATGAAATGTGGCAGTGGGCCCAGGCTCATGGAATTTACTGGTCTTATTCTGTTTTCTACCATTCTGAAGCAGCTGGTGGAGTCGCCTTTTAAAGACTTAGTTATAGCATCAGTTAGGTGGTCAGAGAAATTTCCTCCAGGATGCAATATATGCTCTAAATCAGTTGCTTCCTCCCAACCCAAGAATCTAGAAATCAAAGATTAGAAACGTCTTACTATGACTTCTAGTGATCCATAAGAAAAATGTGTGCCTTCTGTTCCTGCAGCTTTAAACTCCAGAGGACTTAATTCCAAAATGAGGAAAGCTTCTATCAGAGGTTACAATTGCATTGAGCTGGAAGTTGAGATTGTCACCTGGCTACCATAGGATCCTCAAGTATTTGCCAACAGGCAAAGAAGCTATTACAATACTAGCTGTGATGACTGATCACAATCATTAAGGGACAATTAGGTTGCTACTTCACCATGGGGATAAGGAGCAGTATGTCTGGAATGCAGGATATCGCCTGGGGCACTGTTTAGTAATTTCAGATTCTGAGATTAAAGTCAATGGAAATTTAAAAACTTAATTCAAACAGGAATACTAATGAGCAAACTCTTCAGGATCTGAAATTTTGGTTACTCACCAGGTAAGGAACCATCACCAGCTGAGGTACTTCCTGAGGGCAAAGGAAATGTAGAACGGGTAGTAGAAGAATTTAGTTACAAAGGCCAAGCTATGACCATGTAACCAGTTAGAGGTCTGAGTGCTGTAACAGCTATGAGTATTTATTCCTCATTCTTATAGTCATGTGTATAATATTTTT